CTCATCTGTTCCAATGCAGTGCACATTATTTGTGCCCTTTTCTTAGTTTCCCCCCAACCCCAATGTCAGTCCTGTTTTATAACAGTGGCGTTATACAGTATTTGTCCTTTTGTGACTGAGATATTTCACTCAGCACAATGTCCTCTACGGTCCCCCATTTTGTATAATACTTTTTGAGCTCCTTGTTTTTTAGTGTTGTGTAGTATTCCATTGTGTGAATATACTATAGCTTCTCCATCCAGTCATTTTTTGATGGTCACTTAGGTTGTTTCCATCTCTTTGCTATTGTGAACAACGCAGCAAGAAATACGGGTGTGCATATATCAGCGTGGGTGGCAGTTCTGGTTTCTTTAGGGTATATTCCCAGTAGTACAATTGCTGGGTCAAATGGAATTTCTATTTCCAACTTTTTGAGAAAGCATCATACTCCCTCCCATAGTGGTTGCACCATTTTACTCCCACCAACAGTGAAGAAGGGTTATAATTTCTCCACAACTTCGTCCGCACTTGTTGTTTGCTGCTCTGTTGAACTTTGCCATTGTTACTGGTGTAACTATCTCATAGTTGTTTTGATTTGTATTTCTCTCAGAGCTATGGATTTTGAACTTTTCTTCGTGTGTTTGTTGATAAAATTGGGAAACTATCTGCAGAAAACTCAAGCAAGACCCACACCTCACACCATACACAAAAACCAACTCAAAGTGGATCAAGGACCAAGGACTATAAACTTCATCAGAGAAAAGCTTCGAAGAACTCTAGAAGCCCTAATCCACAACATTAACAGTCTTCCAAGCATCTGAAAACCCTGCAACCAGGAGAGGATAAAATAGATGAGTTGGACCTTCTAAGAATCAAATCCCTATGTACATCCAAAAACTTCTCCAACAGGGTAAAAAGGAAAGCCACAGTCTGGGGGCCCGGGGTGGGGGGTGGATATTTGGTAATGACATGTCTGATAAGGGACTTATATCTAGAATTTATAGCATACTCTAGCACCTCAATAACCCAATGCAAAATGGTCATGGATATGAACCAAAGACGACGTTCAGATGGTGAACAAACACTTGGAGATATTTTTATGAGCACTTCCTTATTGAGCCTTATTTGAGATGTTTCTAATAATTTTAGAAATGCTGTTTGTCATTGTGAGATTATTTCTAGAGAGTACATTTCTGCACATCAGATTGGTGAGTTACGAAATATATGTTTATGCCTGCCTGGAACTTGCTCGTGGGTAGCATTGGAGCTGAGCCCTTCGGGTCAGGATGATCACCGACGTGCAGCTCGCCATCTTCGCCAATATACTGGGAGTGTCACTCTTCCTACTTGTCATTCTTTACCACTACGTGGCCGCCAACAATCCCAAGAATCAAGAATGAGAGTGGTGCTTCCTACCCCCCTCCCCGCCCTGGGGTTCCAGGACATAGTCTGAGGCAAGATGGAGGGTGTGAAGGGCCTTCACACTTCACTTCATCCCTTCTGCCCATCACAACATACAAAACAACTACTCCTGGATTTTTCCAAACAACTTTTATTTCCTCAAAGTCTTCCTTAACCCTATGGAACAAGAAGCTAGCACCGAACAGGGCTCAGTGTAGGGGCTTATTTCTTTTCTACTCCACAATATAAAAATATAGATTTATAATTTAAAAGAAAAGAAATATATGTTTATACTGCAGATAAAAAAAATTATGCATCTGTCTATATCTATCTATCTATCTATCTATCTATCTATCTATCTATCTATCCATCTATATCTATCTATTGTCCTATCTTCCTACCTACCTACCTACCTACCTACCTACCTACCTACCTACCTACCTACCTATATATCTCAGGAGTGCCTGAGTCAAGCCATAGTACTTTCAATTACATCATATACATAGCGAAACTAGACAACGACTAAGAAAGACTCAATATCTTTGACTTATGTTCTTGGCTAAGACTATTGAATATATACCACGGACTTCCAAAGGAACAAACAAACATGTCTTGGAGGACTTGGAGGACTTCTTAAAGGCAAGGATGCTATAACTTCATTTCTCATACTTTAGGTATGTTGCCAGGGATGGCCAGTCCTTAGAGAAAGACATCATGCTGGGAAAGGTAGAGGGTCGATGAAAGAGGAGAAAATCCTCAATGAGATGGATTTAACACAATGACTACTACAGAGGTCATGGTAATGGCACAGGAAGGAGCAAAATTCAGCTCTGTTGTTGATAGGGTCACTGTGAGTTATAGTGGCTACTTGATGGAACTAAGAACAACAATATATATATTTTCAAATTAACTTCTAGAGGGTATATAGTATACACTAGTCCTTGTTTTCCCAGTGTCAGTATTGATGTACATAAAAATATCTTTTGAATATAGGTGAAATTAATCTATCAAAGATATGTTATTTCAATTTAATTAACATGTATCTTATTATGAATGAAGTTGAGTACCTTCTATTTTATTTTTTTTCACTAGTTTATTTTCAAAATTCTTACACAGACTCAAACAAATTCTTTCAAATTGTACAACCCAATGATTAATCCCCCTCTCCCCCTACACATCCCTCTGCTTCCAGCCTCTCCCACGCCTCCTGGATCCTTATACTCATTCTACAAATTATGCAATATTTATACTCATGGGACTCAGTTCACTCAGCATAATGCTTTCCAGTCCCTCCCAAGTTAGATAAAAATTTACAGTTATTGCTCCGCGTGCTGCACAGCATTCCATTGTGCGAATGTACCATAATTTCTAAATCCATTCGTTTGTGGTTGGACATTTGGGTGGTTTCCATGTTCTTGCAATGGTGAATAATGCTATGAACATTGGTGTATAAATCTCAGTTTGTGCCTCAGTTCTCATATTTTCAGAGTATAATACCTAGGTCATATGGAATTTCTATGTTCAGATTTTTGAGGAAGCACCAAACTGCCTTCCAGAAAGGTTGCACCATTTTATAATCCCACCAACAATGTATAGGAGTTCCTTTCTCACCACATCCTCTTACTTGCTGCCCTATTAAACTTTTCCATTCTTACTGGAGTGCGATAAGTACTTTCTATTTTATACTACACATCTGCTGTTAGGGACCACGTCAGTGTACTGAAAAGCAAAGATGTTAGTCTAGAGATTAAGGTGCATGTAATCCAGGCCATGGTCTTCGCAATTACTTGCTATGCATCAGAGCTGGATGATGGCTAACGATGACTGAAGAAGAATTGATGCCTTTGAATTTTACTGGAGAAGAGTCTTGAACATACCATGAACCACCAAGAAAACAAATAGATCTGTCTTGGAGAGGGTTAAACCAAGTTTCTCCTTGGAGGCTGGGGTTTTGAAGCTCCATCTCACATACTTTGGACATGTGGCCAAGAGAAACTGGTCCTTGGAGAAAAACATACGTTATACTCCCAGTGATCTTTACACTGATATAAATAAAGTCAATTACAAGTATATTTAAAACATTCAGAGAAGTCACTTTTTTACTTTGTGCTCATTTCACTCCATGAGGGGCTACTTTTGCTGTCTATACTAGGTAAGTGCCAACACTATCAATACTATAGCCTTCTTGGCATTGTCTTATGACTTTGGTAACATCACGAATTTAGTGAGTATTGGTAAGGACTTAGTTATAGTTCCTAACCAAGTTCAGGTCAAGTGTCCCTAACACACACAAGTGTTCTGACACACAAATAGAAGTGACATGAGGAGCATTTCACAGACAATATCAACAGTGGCTCAACATCAAAATAATTTCTGGAAGGAACTCAAAGCTGGTGAACCATTGTTAATGTAGGTTTTCAGGTAGAGAAAAAAATGAGCTGTTTTTAACATTCAGAAACACCATACATAGATGAGTTGAAAATAAAAAATTGGTTCTAATCTACCAGCTGCTCTGGGATGGGCAATCTCTTCCCATACAATTAACTGCCTCTGAAAACCTGCTGGAGGATCAGCTACGAGTCGGTTTCATCCAAACCAACAGTACGTAATATGCACACTTCTGTGATTAAGCTAACTTAGATGTAAAGTTCATTTAGAGCTATTGCTCTTAAGAGGTAATTTCCTAGGGTAAAGGATACTTTGGACACCTTAGCAGGAGGGAATAGTCCTTGGAAAAAAGACAGACATCTTGCTTGGAAAAGTGGAGCATCAGAGAAAGAGAGGAAGATCAGATGAATAGACACAATGACTGGAACAACAGGCTTCATTATATTGGAGATAATGAGGATGACACAGAACAGAGCAAAGCTCAGATGTGTTGTTCATAGGGTCATTAAGAGTCAGTTGACTTGCTAGCACATAACAATAACAAAGGATGTGGTACACAAAATCCAGAAAGTATAAGTGAAGATCAAATATAACTGAGACTTCTACATGCATCCCCCAAGCATCTTTTTCCAGCCATACAGCTTATTCTTTATCTTCAGATTGTGAACCACCAAGATAGATGAGAGATAGCTTTGTCTCAGGGGAGCCATCATTTCATTTAATGATGGACTTTGGTGCCCCCAAAAAGGCTGTAAGAAACCAAGAAATCATAAAAATAAAATGAGAACCACCAATCAGTTCATTTTCTATAAATAATATACTAAAGTTATAATAGGTTGCCCCTTAGAAATCTCAGTTCAGGAATTTATATTTTCATCAGTATGGAGTCATTTTTTCATATTGGTCAAGGGTCAGTAAGTTCAGGCATCATCAGAAACAAGTACCACATTGCAACAGGTCAACTGAAATGAATGCTTTGTTCACATGATAATATTTCTTTCTTTCACTTTCTGTCTGTAGATACATTGGTTTTCATAAGGAACTAACACAGGTCTTCATTCACATAGCTAGAGCTGTCTCCTCCATGGTTGCTGGCTATGACCTCATTGATCAGGTAAGGTCATATGTTCTGTCAAAAAGAAATAGCTTAGAAGAAAATGGACAGATTGCTATGCAGGTTGAATAGACTATTTGCTATTGGGCTGGGCAGCATGCTATCATGGAGTGTTCTTATTAAGATTATATATGTATGTATATACAGATGTAAGGGCACTAGTGATTGGAACATGGAATGTGAGAAGCAAGAATGTAGGAAAATTAGACATTGTTAAGAAAGAAATGGAATGCATAAATATTGACATACTAGGTATTGGCAAAATGAAATGGCTTGGCATGGGACATTTTGAATCAGATGATTATATGATTTACTATGCTGGGGATGAAAAGGTGAGAAATAATGGGGTTGGTTTCATAATTAAAGAAATCATTTCTAGATCTATCCTGAAATATAATGTGGTGAGCGACAGGATAATATCCATATGCATACAAGGAAGTCCAGTGAATACCACTATAATTCAAATTTATGCACCAACAACTAGAGCCAAAGAAGAGGGAATAGAAGATTTTTACCAACTTTT